CCGCACGTCTAACATGCGAGGCGAGCGTGTTACCACTACCCCAGCACACTTTGGACGCGTCTGAAGTTTCACGTCTGAACAGGTGAACGTGTTCACGCTTGAGCGATGTGATTGGTGTGCCCGACTGTTTAAACGACGTCCCAGTAACTATCGTCTGGAGCCAGACATTAGTCTACTGAAGCACCAGATTCTGAGAACTGTTCATTGAGTCGGGATTCAAGTCTCAAGTCGTACACCTCTCAGGACGCATGAAATACCAATAAGAAAAAGATGCACGTAACATTTTGACTATTTCTACCGCATGTTATTCACCGTAAATCATACATTCCGATCGTTTACTCTCGAATGGTTCTGTCCATCCATCAAGTTAATTTGAGCTAATAACCGGATTTTTATTAATGGCTTCATTGAAACATCTCCGTTGAGGGAAATGCTCTTCTACGGTCTTTCATCCATTAGACTTGAAGTTTACTTGTTAACTGACGCCTGACCCTTACTAGACTTCCGATGCTAAGACAACCAACGAAGAAACAACTTCCTCGTCTGGCTTTATGGGCACTTCCCGGTTTGCTTGCTTCTGGGAGCATCTTACACCGTAAGAACGATGATGTTTTCCACGTCTGGACATAGCCCATATTGATCAACAAAAGGCGTCACACGGACAATTATTAGTTCTATGTTAGCACACCTTGTTGACACAGGAAAACGGGTATACACTGGCCTGGCATTACCGTGCATCTATGCTACCCCGAGAATACTACACAGAGCTTAGGTGGAAATGCGGAGACGGTCGTTATCAAACGGAAATTATCTAACTTGTGAGTCCTAATGTTAGGTTAGCTAATACGGACGGATTCTATGATTGTGACCAACCGATTCTGATGATTCATTCAGTCGGTTGATCTTTGTAAACCGTACTTCCGTTTCTTAGGCATGGTAGGCTTCCTGACCTCCCGCTCGCCAGACGGGTGTTACCCCAACTTTCACATTAGTTCAGCCATTTAGATCGTACGCTTACTTGGGTCTCCACAACATTTGGATGCAGACGGTACAAGTTGAAGTGAGAAAAAACGTGGAACCAGCAGGTAAGTTTCATTGTCCTCAGATTACACTATCTTAAGTCAGTATTAGGTGTTTGCTTGTGGGCAGTTGCAACTGCACTCGTGAACCCGCTTATTCGACTATCAGACAGCCCAGTTAGCCTGAAGACCACCGTGAGGAAGAAGCGTTTTCAAGAAAGTACTTCTGTGGTATGCTAATCACATACCTCCCAATCATGATATTTATACTTGATATAATTATATTTGAGGTTCATTGGAAACCTAGGCAGGGAATTTTCTGAAAAACTGGTTTATTCAACCGAAAGTAAATTGCGCGCTACTAGCAGTGATGACAGTTTATACCTTGGTCCTTTGTGGATCTATTTCGTCTTATCAAATTTGTACAGAACCCTGATTTAGTCGCAGCTCATTAATTCAATCTCAAAAATATCGACTGGTAAGATGGGCGAAACACTTCGAAGAACAGTTTTACTGATGGAATGTAAACCTCAATTGCCCATCGGAAGAAGAAACAAGGTACGAACTATACTGAAATGTGAGAAGGCGCCAGGACTGGACGGTCTGTATCCAGCCCCCTTCAAAGAATGCGGAGAATCCCTGGTGACCTATCTAACAAAGTTCTTTAGTGCGATATAAAGTGGAGAGAAAGTGGATGCCGAGTGGGGAATGACGACAGTTACCCTAGTGTGAAAACCACCATGGAATTAGTCTGGTATTTGTGGCGTCGAACTTGCTCTATGGTCTCATCCTTCGAAAGTTGACTGAACACATAGGCAGATCCGTAAAGGCCAGGTTAGGTTTCGTCCAGAGAGAAGATGTACCTGTCACACATTCATCCTACTACAGATTCCGGAACAGTGTTATTGCTTCAGGCGTCAAACGATGGTTACTTTCTGTGACTTGAAAGCTTCTTTTGAATCTGTGGAGTCTCAGGTACCATGGTATCTGTGCAAAGCTCGCCTGAATTCCCTGCACCCAGTGATGTTGGACAAGGCTGTCCTCTTTCACCTTTCCTCTTCAGCTTAGTCACTGATACGATCATGGGACTCACTACCAGCTTCTAGTGCCTGTGGGGTTGAAGTGCTCTCGAGGCATTCGCTCACAGACGAGGTAGCTATTCTTGGATCTGGCACCATCGCAATGCAAACAACACTAAATGTTCTAATAATCCTTCCTCACGGCCTGGAATGCACCTCACAACTGCTGCAAGACCCTAGCAGCAGCAGCTGACCCAGCAGCAACCCTAGCCTCGTTCTTGCGGATGAGCCGATTGTGGTGGTAGACAGGTTTGTCTGCCTGGGCAGCTATATCGGTCCCGGGTGTCTCGAGAAAGATGATATTCCCATCCGGATTAGGAAGACCAAATCAACTTTTGTAAACCGGCGTCACCATTGGTGTAAGCCTGATACCAGCTTGTCCGTCAAGGGTCGAGTTTACAATACTGCGGTGCACCTTATGTTGTTATACGGGTCAAAAACGTGGCCTGTGTGCGCCGAGGACATCAAAAGTCCATAGCTATCTTCAGAGCATTGCTAGAGTCTGGTTGAAACACCGGACCAGTAATGCTGAAATACGCTGAATGGTTTTAGAAAGAAATAACTCGCCCACGATCGATGAACTGATCACATTCTATAGGCTGCGCTGATTCGGCTACGTGCTGCATATTCCAGACGACTGAGTTCCTCCAGGGGTTCTATTCGCACAACCACGTGCACGGTGTAAACGATCCAGAAGAGGTCAAGCCATCACTTGGCAGTGGAGTATAAAAGCCATTACCAGCGAACTCATTTGCGCTGGTAATTACCGTCTCCCTGGATATGGACTCCGACAACAATGATTACAGACATTGTCAGACATGACACAGTCACGCCCTCAGCGACGCTTGTGCGCTCAAGCTATTACCTTGAATACATAGCTACCTCCAAACCTCTCCAATGAAAAGTTCACTGACACTCCTGTGTTGATGAATCAACTAGATCAGCTACCATCTCCAAGCTGTCTCACCTATTCGGATCTTCGGCGGTACGGCAGTGATGCATCGGTGTTAAACACTGAAGTCATACTGTCGATGATGATGATCACTGGTGAACGAAACTTTGGAAGCTATAACCACTGTACGACAAACACGCGGTTTTTGCAGCTGATGATGGTGATTGTGTTGGACCATTATTCTTTATTATTTTTATTATTCCTATCATGCAGCCGCTTCGAAAACTAATAAAAGCAATATTTTGAATTAAAAAAAATGCCACGAATATTTAGAGACAAGTTTCATGTCGATGAATATCTGTCGTATGACGATGTCAAAAAACAATTTCTCTTCTGATTCGCACCAAGCCTTGAATAGTCAGTGGTATTCTCGATGCGGCAGCCCGTGATTGACGATATACTGGATGTCCAGGCGTCGTATGAGGGTTTCTTTCAATAGGTATCCCTTGACCCCGTTCTTGTTGTTGATCAACACCAGAAATGAATAATCGCTGCCCATGGAAAAATTCAAGGCACGTTGATGATTGTTTGAAAGACACACACGGATTACGATGTTTTCCGTATCTTTTTCCATACAAAATTTCTCCTCCACAGCTGAGTTTGGGGTATGGATAAAGTAGGACGGGTACTTAATTCGTGTGAAGGATGGAACACAAATGAGCAGTATTGATCCCGATAGGCCTTTTTTCTAGCTGATCTAGAAGAGATTGAAATATGCTCGGGAAAAACCTAACCAAGAACACACTCACGTGTGATGCAAATACATGAGGTGCAGAATCGGGAAAGACCTAACCAAGAACACACGTGTGATGCAAATACATGAGGTGCAGACGCAGCGTACTCCTATTGGGTGGACAAACTTCATCCCTGGTGGCATGACTGTTCGGGCAAACAACATATCTTTACACTCAGGAGAGACAAAGCGGAACGCAGGTAGATAGCTCCGTCGACTACCATATTTCGCGCTCGTTCTATTTGATATAAGTCTGTTTCAGCGGTGTCATTGTCTTTGTTCAACAAGCGATCTAGATCTAGTTAACCGATTTTTTGGTACCGTCTGCTCCTGCCACTGCATAATTTTAGGGCGTAAAAATTGTATCGCGTTTGTACCAATATACAGTGCACCAAATGGCTTTCAATAGGTTACTGCACCATCTACCTGAACAATAAGATGACCAAACGTTCTATTCTTCTCATTTCATCCATTGGTCAATTTTTTCGTTCGTTCAAGCAGTTTTTGTGCCCTCCAGTCTCGAGTTTAATCGGAAACTATTTGCAAAGACTGGAGAGGATCGTGAACCTGTGTCATAGCATAACACACGCAAAATGTCTTGACCCGATTTTCTCTAATTACATGCATATCCAACTCATAGTGAACTAGCTGTCCCGGTAACGATATTTCAGATATGACGCTACTTGCATGGTTGATGAGACTCAGACGGACCACTAACGGCTTCACCGCTGTAAGGCCTCGTCATGTAGGCCCGATTCCCAAGTTTCCATCGATCCTATTTCGTACCCGGATAGCAAAGGGAACACATTGTTGGGACAGACGCTCGCCTACAAACTAATGTGATTTTACTGTCGAGATTCAGCTGAATATCTCATTTGTACTAATAACGTCACTTTAATTTGCAAATACCATAGTTAGTTCTGATTCCAACAACCACTGAACTGGTCAGTACTGTTGCCGAACTTCTGATAACCACGCGTTTTCTAAGCTATGTTTACTGCAAAACGTGATCCTCAATGAACTTCACTAGCTGTTGGTGGGCTTACTTTCCCGTTCACACCACGCCGGAAACTTTGGGTGGCGGAAGGTTAATAATAACCGTTCAATCATTTTTCCAAGTAAATAAGTCGTTTAAATGTAAACATAGGTGATAGTATGCATCGGAATCATCGATCGTTCACTCATCCATTCCTTGCCACTCCATATTGTTTATCCAGGTTCGCGACCTCCTGTCTCAGTGCACCTGCCCGCAAACGTTCCCGATGATTCGCGTTAGTGAAGGACGGTACTTGTTTGGTGACAAGTGCACACAAATTTTTGTACGGGTAAGTCTACCATTTGATGCACCGACATAACTTCCCTACTTAATGCTGAAACCAAGAAAGACTGGTAGCAGCAATTCCAGTTTGTGAAGAAGCGAACCCGGGTGGGAACATGTAGACATCTTTTGTATCTTCGTTTTCTTTTAGCATCACGATTGATGGGTCAGTATAATCGACTAAGTACAAACCTTTGGGAATTTTGTTCGTACACGTTAGCTATATTTGTCTGGCATTTCTGTGGGGGTTTCTCCACACGAATGATTTATAAGTTACACTGGAATCTTATCTGTATCTCATATGGACAGAACAGTGACAGTAAGCTGTCAGTAACAAAACCTGGACGTTTCTTAAATTCAGAAGCTTGGACACGTTGTTCACTTCCACACAACCAATTTCATAAGTCGCGAATACAAACAAAGCAATGGAAATTTTTCTGAATTGAGCTTTCATCCTGTCAGTTAAACCAATCTATGCTGAAAAGCCGTGAAACACTTCAACGCTCTGTCATCCTTGTTGGGAATCATCAGGAGTGCGCAACTCACGAAACTCCACCAAGGTGTCTTGAACCCGGGACCTCCTGGTCAGTGGTCGAACGAAATTTCTATTAAAAATTATCAGGTTCCCTTACCACCATCAATCAATGAATAGCCCAGAGCAAGAGTAATTTGGCAAGATTAGTCTAACTTCTATATGAGAAGTCGTCACTCTAGGAGCCACTCAATACGTGACCATTTGATATGACTTCCATGATTGAAGGATGAATGACGCTGTCTTGTCTAAGCGAGAGTTAATCACACTGCTGTTCGGCCGCTCGTAGCCAAACGGCTAAGTGTTCAGCCATTAGCTGGGAAGCCTAGGGTTCGAAACTCTGATTTTCGTGAGATGTGCACTGCTGATCATTCCCGAAAAGGATGAAACAGTTGTACAGTGCTTCTGGGCTTTTCAGCACAGAATAGCTCCACTGGCAGGACGAAATCTCGGTTGAAGATCACGAAATTTCCTCACAATGCGATCGATAAAATCTCTTGCCCACTTGCTATCGGTTAGGTTTATGGCAGACTATTCAGTTTTTCTGTATTGTTCATCGTCCGTTTACAGTTGGACTGTCCTGATCAAAGTTTGTATGGAGCTTTGAAGCAGATTTGTGATGCATTAGGTCGGCAAGATTTAGCTATGCGCGCGGTCCTTCCTTTGATGTTTGTCGCCAACTCTTTGCTTGTGTATAAACAAAATAAAACGGTTATCCGTTTATTCACAAATCTTGGGGTTATTGCTATGCGGCGGGACAGATTTTGGACGCTGTTCTCATGGCCGCTCCAAAATGAGGGAAGCTAATTAGTTATGGAGTTACGACTGATGCCCTCTGCTTGCTTAATTAGCTTTTCATCGGAAGCTGGATGATCTTTAATATTTGGTACCGACCAGCGTTCTGGTAATTTGTTTTAATTGTTTCATCAATAATAGACTTGGAGTCCCGTGTTTAACGGTGTGTTGAGTTTTTTCGAGAGCGTGTAAACAACTGATAACCCGAATCTGTTGTATACACCTCCTGTTCTCCAGTTTTATCATTCAGTCAGACCATGCGTCCGGTGCAGTCGCTGGGTCCCATAATAACCGAACGTCCTGCACAGGCACGTGAACTGTTGGGTAGGGCACTGACCTCATTCATACGCAGACACAAAACAACCACACGAATTCATTCACCCTTGAATTCTGAATGGGTCTTAATCAGTCTGTTGCTGCTTTGTTCATTGAATGTTGGAAAAATGCCCAGGAAATTCGGATGAGGCACCTCAAATCTCGTAGGTCAAGGGTTGAGCTGGATGTTACTTACTGTTATAAGTGAGATTTATCTCCGGCTTTTCTTGTTTGGATAATTGTAAGGCAGCGTTTCGCCGCAAACATCACAGTGCCCAGTCCTGCTTGTCAGCAGGTTGGGTCGAATCGATAGTGCGTTTGGGCAGTACGTGCAATATCAGGTTAAGCTAAATACAGCTTGATATTCATACCTCCCTTCTTAAACAGCATGGAACAGGGTATCCACTCACTAATTCCTAGTGTTCCCACTCCTCGACAAATGTGATAACGATACAACCCTGACTATAAATGTGGTTGATAATTCGCTCGCTTAGCCTAATTTGATTTTACTGCATCATGTAATGAAAAACACTTCCCTTAAATCGACTGATTTATATTTCCGAGTCAAAGAGAACTCGAGTGCGTTGTTGCTTCACTTCGCGGTACTTCTAGTGTGGGTGATCTGTAAGTCCCAGTTATCGGGGTAAATGGCGACCCGATTTTGCTGAAGCAAGAAACCATCCAAACGAACTCAGTCTATTCCACTTTATACAAGTTATTATGCACTTTGTTTTTTTGGTACACGAACTGACACGGTCCCTAATTAGCATTGTAAATTTGGGATACGTTCTCTTCCCTGAATATCAACTTGTCATCACAAGGACTGTGGGTGTAGATACCCTTTTTCGTCGCGTGATCCGCGCTACGAATACAACCATCACGCGGCCTCGCAAATGGTGACCAGGGAGGCAGGATCCAAGCAAATACACCTCACTCGTGACAAGCGCCTTTATGTCTTTTTTTGTATTTTCGTGATGAGGCTGAACAGTTCACGGATATTACACCGAATATTCACTTTCAGATTTCGAACATTAATGTTGCGTAAGGGACAAGAGACAAGAACCTCACAATTGGCTTTCAACTGACCCCATCTTTTCTAAATAGGTAATCAGAGCGTAATTTAACACATGCGGTCTCCTGAAAGTGCATAGTGAGAACTCAAAGAATGACATACTATGAGTTGAAATGAAACAAAACTAGAGGAATTTAATGTGTGGACCCGGTTCCCTACATTTGTCTGGCTACTGTATTGCGCCCCTCAATAAAACATTGTGGGTGCATCTCTAAGTGTCTCCTAAGCCGGGGACATCTACTCATAGGAGGGCGACCATAAGAATTATACCAAAGGCTTTTGTTACGTAGCGAGAATTTGTTCGTATTCGGGGGTCCAAGCGGATTCCTTGAAGGTTTCATCTGAATTGAGAACTTTAGCTAATCACTGACTACATTTCCGCGGTTGACGTACACTAGCACAACATGGTGGAACTATCTCGTGGTCCTTCACCCCCCGTTACGTAGGCCAATACGATCTACTTTTCATCACTCTTAATCCACATATTAACCTTCAGGAAGGATAATTTATCAAGATAATTCAGTCTCGTATTGCAGAGAGAGATATTCGGAACTTGAGTTACTGAAACTGAGTTACCGTGCCTCGAGCCATCCCGTCTCCAGCTACTACTTTAAATGAAAAAAAATTCAATTGGTCAATGTCTGAACCAATTTAGGGCTAATTTTTCGGCTAGATCACTGGAGAATGGGATAGTGAATCGAGCGTGCTTGTGATACCAGCAGTTGCTAGTAGTTGTCCGCTGCTAAATTATAGGTATTGCTGCAAGCAATTTCTGTTGTAGTGTGAGAGGTAATTCAGCCGTTCCGGGAGTCACAGAATATCTCCTCTTTGGTCCCGCGCCTCGCCTGGCAAATAGCATCACCCAGCCAAAAGCCAACTGAAATGAGCAACATAACAAGTGGACCAACGTATATGCATGGATGCTGCGAAAACCAACTGAAATGAGCAAGTGGACCAACGTATATGCATGGATGCTTGTGAATCTCCAGATGTGTCGATTTGCTGAATTCCAAGCAGGAATTATCTAGAAATTATGAATGGACCTCAGATAGTTCGACATGGCTGAGTAAGCTTGTGTATTCAGTGACACTACCCAAGTTAGAGTTCTCTCAGAATAAATACTTCACTCTTGCTTTGTATTAATTAGCTTTCAACACTCCGCTGATTGCAATTCCCTACATTTGAGTGTTTGTCGGTGAATTACTGGCACCGAACGAGTCTACTTGTTTTGGAACGTTCTATCCGTCTTTTATTCTCAACACAGCACACTAAGAGGATACACGAGTATCAAGTTTCAAAACCACTGCCGGACTGAAATCGAATCAAGTCCTGATTTATGGAGTCTGATGAACGCGCACTGCCATGGTTGTTGGACTCATAGGGGGTGGTCACTGCAGTTAGTCAACGCGATTCTGTGCGAGTCTGCACGAGTCACTGCACCGGTAGATCGTACAACACACAGAGCAGTGTTTGATCGAGTTTCTGGTCTTTCATGTGGACAAACCGAGTTGCCACATATTTCGGACTGGCTTGTCTTGGGCACACTTGCGCACCATTGGCATCGGAGATGCGATTGCGCATTAACACTGGCATATAGACCGCGCAATATGTGTCTGCCCAACAGTGCGCGCAACAGAAGTGATTAATGTTGTCTACATACTTTTCGTAAAGTATTTTTGTTTTCACTTAAGAATTCATCGTGTTTTTGCACTGACCGTACTTACTAAGCTGCTATACAGCACTGATTTCCGCACAGGATGTCATAAGTTTGTTAGCAATTCATAAATATCTATTAAATATCACCGAATCTCTTCATACTACCATGAAACAATAAGTAGCCCAGAGGAAGGATGACTTCACTGACTGTGTGAAGCTTCCTCCTGAGAAGTCGTCACTCGAGGAGCCGACCAATACGTAACCACCTGGTGTGGTTTTCGTGATTAATGTCCTGTTTAAGCAAGGGCTAATTACACTACTGTTCAGTTCCGTGATTAATGTCCTGTCTAAGCAAGGGCTAATTACACTACTGTTCAGCTGCTCGTGGCCAAACTGCTAAGTGTTCAACCGTCGGCTGGGAAGTCGCGGGTTCGAAACTGAGTTTCGTGAGATGTGCACTGTTGATGTTTCCCAACGAGACTGATAGAGCTCTACAATGCTTCTGGGCTTTTCAGCTTAGAATAACTTTACTGGCAGGACGAAGTCTTTATTGCACGCACAAACTACCCAAGAAAGCGTCTACCCGAGAACGTTAGCCGAATGACATGGATTTTTACTTGATTCAACTGAATACACG